GGCAAAAGGGGGTCCAACCCGTTACTAGCATGGGGTACCTAATAAAGTGGCCGGTGAGTGTATACAACACAGCAAAATCCTTTGTTGTCCTTGCTGTCGACAGGCTGCAGCCATGTCCCGAATTCCTTGTTTTCCAGCCACTTTTGTTGAAATTTGCATTTTCCCATTCTCTAGCTTTTTCTCCGCCTCAAGCTTCTTTTCCAAACATATGAGTTATGTCTGATATAATATATCTACTGAAATTGTTTTTATAAACTTTTTTTTTATTAAGCGTTTTAAATGCCACAATCACATTTAATAAGTCTTAATGGCAATTAAGGCCTTAATTTAAAAAAATAATAATTTAATGACTTTTAATGATTTTTAATGACCTGAGGAAAGCTAAAAAGTTACATCTAGCAAGCATGAGTGCATGTTCAATGCTACATTTTAGTGTTGGACATACGCAGAAGTCGCTAAAATACAATACATATAATAATATATACATATAATAAATACAATCAGTAACTTCAGTAAATTTATTGAGCTAGAAATCAAACCCACATTAAAAAAACATTATGTCCTGCAAGGCTCAAGGGGCCCCTAAAAGAGACGGCGCCCCACGTCTTCACAGATCCTAATCATTACCTAAAGGACTTTTTCTTTAACCAGCTTTTGCTTTACAAAAGACCCACTTTTTTGCCAAAAAACTAGAATTCTTACTTTAAGGAATCAAAAAAATATATATATCACCAAATCTCAGTAGAGTTCAGTAAATTCCACAAATTTACAATTGTGACGGACAGAAAACCCTTTTTTTTCCCAACGCACATTTTCTTAACAACAGGTTGGCATATCGCTAGTGTCTAATATAGAGCTGCAACTAACAAGTTGCAAGTCGATTAATCTGTCGATTATTTTTTTCAATCAATAGATTTATAATCGGATAGAAAAGGTTCCTTAAAGAAGATTTTTTTACAAAGTCAAACCAGGTAAAACTGAACCTCTTCCACTTGAGGAGTTCTGGATAGCGCAAATAGATAGAAAAAAAACATTTCTTTTATCTTAAATGCAAAATGTTTATATATAATTTACAATTTTTATGTAATTACTGCTCTAAGTAGGTTGCTCTGACAGCTAATGGGTGTTTTAAAGTCTCTATACTCCAGTTAACGATTAGTCTATTACTAAATTAGTTGACAATTATTGGAATAATCAATTAATCACAATTATTATTGTTAAATTCATTGTTTCAGCCTTAGTCTAATGGTTGTTATGGAGACTAAGTGACCCCAGGATGGCAATCAGAAATGCAGCTCTCCAACATTTTTTTTTTTAAATACTTAACATTTTACATTTACTATAGTAAAATAAAATAACCCACCTATCCACCTGCTATAAGTAACTCTACTAAAATTAAATAAAAAAAAAATGTTTTAACTTTATAAAGTACACATATTACTGTTACTTCCATCCACTCTGTATTTTCTTTTTCCAATCTGTAGTTTTGATAGTTAGTGATTGATTTGTAGATGAGTTGTGTGCCATCTACAGTTGGAACTATTGTATAAAAGGAACCCTTTTCACCCTTGAATTAAATCGAACTAAAGTAGGATTAGATTATTATTTATTATTATTTCATTCTTGCAAATCCCAGAAAAAAAGAGAGATTACCTTCTTATTACATTTACATCTTCAATGTCAGAAGTTTGCACACATTTACTTAGTACATAATATGCCATATGAATAACATGTACAGTGTACTTGTTACAGCTCTGATTAGACCAAACTGAACTAATTAGAAGAGTGCTGGAAAAAAGTGTGTTAAAATAAATAAAACTTGGTGTGTGTGTGTGTGAAGTTATAGAGTTTTTCTTACTTTTCCTGCCCGTTTGGTGACATCTAAACAGAAGTCCATACATTCCTGCCATGGATCATTCATGTTGACAGAGGAGCTAATAAGGAAGAGACCTGAAGGATAAAGAAAGGCTTTACTAAATTAAACCCGCATTGTTATGTTAACTTCAGATATAAACAGTCGTCTTAAAATAGTGACAACACAGGTTAAAAAAAAAAAAAAACCTTTATAACAAGAAAAAAGAGAAAAAAAAATGTAACTTATATAAGCACTGGTTAGCTTTTTGAGCTAGCTTGTAGCTTTATAGAATAAGCAAATATAAACATAAGTTAAAAATCGTCTGGATATTTTCCAGATGTTATATATTTAGATTAATTCCCGCTGTATATCTAGAAAGAAAGAGTGGACACACCGAAAGAGCTGCAGTAAATTTAACCTACCTATCGAATGAGAGAGAGCCAAACATTGAGGTTTAGCAGTGGACGACTGGGGCTAAAATGAAAGACTTCGTTTCATTGGTCGCTTAGACTTGGATATTGAATCTTTATTCTTATTGGCGTAAAAGCTTTCGCACGTTTCACAGGAAGCCGCATTTCCTGTGACCCAACATGTCAGGCTATCCGCCATATTGTGAGTGGCAATCCCCCTTTAAAATCAGAATCAGAATCAGAATCTGGTTTATTGCCATTGTTAGTGAAGAAGTTCACAACTAGGAATATGTTTCGTCGTGCAACATGAAACATATATGAAATAGTAAATAAAATTATAAAAATCTCTAAAAACACTGGGGTATAAGGCATGCAAAAAATATACTAATATATACACTTAAGATAAAAATATGGATAAATATAAAAAGTAAAATGTACAAGGTAGTGCAAATAGAGCAGTGTGCAATACAGCAGTGTGAATGGCATGGGCAGGTTATGGAGTCTGACATATAGTGACGTGATAGCATTTGGATGACCAGCGTGTGTTTTTTTCTCTCCCACAGACTCATGAGT